CTTAATGGCATATGACACCAACCGGTGATCCAGGTCATTATGCGCGCAAAAACTATGCATGACGAAAGGTCTGACTGGCCTGAGTAACGAACTTACGGAAAAAAGCAATTGCGCAAACGATGAATAAAATCCGTAGTGGCCAGCATGCTTTTAAACCACACCGATACATGACCAGATGGAGTGTGGAGGTGCCGGTGAAACCTCTCGAAGGACTACCCCCTGTGGAATCAAGTCTCCGGGAGACGGTTCCACTCATAACCGTATTACTTCACTTATTCTTTCTTACCCTACTTCATCTTGCATTGAATCTGTTGTGCTCCTGGTTACTAGTTACTTCATCTATACCTTCCTACTGTCTTCGCAATTTTTCCCATTAACTTATTCCTTAGACCACATCTTTGATCTTAGTTGTGATGCCTTTCCTCTCTACCACTATGGCAAAAGTTGGCTAACTATTGCACACTTTTCTAATCGTCCTGTCTTTGGCATCTTCTACGAGACTACGATGCACTGAATAAGTCCTGCTTTTGAAGTAAATAGGCGTTTATTTCTTTGTCTACTTATCTGTTTAATTCCGCCTATTTAATATTACCTTTTCCGTGCATAGTCACGCACATCATAAATATCCACCTACAAGTGAAGGCTGAAAGGATGGCAACTGAGCCACCCAGCATCTCAGCCATCTGGCAGCCCAAAACACAACTTGATTTGTTCAATTCCATAATTAGAACGAGGAATGTCTAGACGCTACACTATGACTTAATTCCTAACGATATGATATTGCCTTGATTATTCTGATAAACGAACGCGTTTGATGATCCACTGGAGTTACCTTAATATAGTAATTTCTTTATTTTCGCAACGCTTTAATTTGCTGCTCGCAACTAGCATCAAACATATTACTACAGCCTATTAACTAGGATTGTGTGTTACTCATCTGATTTTGTCTAGTGAATCCAAGTGTTACATTCTTTTTCATACTCCCTCACTCCCGTCAAACCGCCGCCATCATGGCACCACCGAAAACAGCCAAATGAGAATGCCCGCGAAGTGGTAGCATACGGCGACAAAAGTCCCGAATGAAAATATTCGTAAAAACATCCCTATCGTAACCATGTAAAAAGCCAATAATTGACAGCCTCGCATGCCTGAGCATGTAATCTAAATATGATCCGATCCTTTGTGGACTCGATTTCTCGGTACCATGATAACTATACCCTATTATTATTATTATTATTGGTATTAACCGTATGATGGACTCTTATAACAATAGTATGTATAGGGGAAAGGTTTGCGCGAATACGAGAGGTGTTCAAAAAGCAAGCGAACATTTTCAACAGCGCGGCAGCCGGCAGAGGGAACGCGCTGCGGATACTGAACGCATGTGGAAGCTTGCTTAGACAATAAACTGCCATTTGTCGCATTTCGCTCTGCCTGTCGGTTTGGGATCTACAGCCGCTGAAGGGAGCAGGTGCACAAGCTGTTCGTCAGATTAGTGCCAAAGAGACAATGAAAGAGCTTGAAGAACAACGCGTATGTATGCAATGTTACTACAAACTTGGCAACACTTATACGGAGAGACTTCAATTGCTTAGCCAAGCACACGGGGAGGACCGTGAGTCGCACACGGTGCTATAAGTGGTTTAAGTGTTTTGAACACGGCAGAATGTCGGTCGGTGAAGATCCTAAGCCTTGACAACCTTCCACATCAGCAAACGAAGACCATTTTGAGAGAGTACGTGCCATGATCCGCGGAAATCATCATTTAACTGTTCGAGCTATTGTCAACGAAGTGGGCATCGGCGTAGGATCATGACATCAGACGCCTGAACTGTGGGAATAACAGACTTGCATGTTGAATCATGCCAATGCCCCGGCTCTCACATCGCTCCTTCTCCGCAGCTATCTAGCGAAACATCCCACCCGTTGTGCATCATCCACTGTATTCTCCTGACCTAGCCCCAGCAGATATTTTCCTGTTTCCCAAACTTAAAGTCAGGTTGAAAGGACGTCGTTTTCAAAGCAAAGAGGGGATTCAGTAAAATGCGACAAGAAACCTGTGCGCTATCCCAGTAAGTGCGTTCCAGGAAGCTATCCAAAAATGGAAACATCCTTAAGAACGATGTATTACCAGTAGAGGGGACTAGTTTGAGGGGTAAAGTGCTAAAATGATGTGCAATGAGCAATAAAGATGTTATGGCAAAAGTTGATTTTCTTTCTGTACACCCTCGTAACTTTGGTTTCATTTGTAAGACTTATAAAGTTACTATCTTGCTGTATCGGGCACACCGTTAGCTTACCATACTTGTTCACTGTAGGTAATATCTGTAGCGGTTGCACCGATTTATGCGAAAATAACCTTTCTCTGGGGATGGGAATCTTGCCCTGTGCTTTGGATAAAACCCCCATCCACGTAAGGCAAGATGCCCATTGGTGGGCATCTTAACTTATCCTGGCCCTAACTGCTTAAAAATACAAACACTGATATGCAGAAACTATTAAAGATAGGGCTATAGCATATTGTCATCTAGTCCTGGTATATACACAAGAGGATAGCTGAATCGTCCCCTAACAACACAATGTAGATGGAATTTAAAATTGGAAGACACAAATTTGTAGTTCGAGAATCCTCAGATGCGTTAAAGAAAACCAAAGATTTACTAATTATTGTCTGATTCACAAGTATGACACGCATAGACTTTAGAAATTTCTGGAGTTCAGCCCTCGTCGGCCCACATTTGACTCACAGTGTAGGTGACCCACATTTCACCACCTCGACTTCGAGCAATTTCTTAACAGCCGTTAAAACAGGGCCATTCATCGGCCTCGTACGATGAAGAGGACGGTTTTGAGTTCTACACTTTACTGGCCTTCTGTTTGTCTCCTTTTTGCTGCTGCTGCTTTGCTCTGTGTTGTAGTGAACGTTGTTACTACTTCGGCATCTTCAGATTTGCGGCATCCCTTCTGCTTGCTTAGGACGACTGCTTTCGGAGTGGTACAAAATTCTGCAATGACCTGAATTTTGGCTAACACTGATCGCTTGGTATTATCAAAAGACTTGAGGTTTTGAACCTCAACTGATATTGAAGGAGCGAACCTACCGTAAGCAGATGAGAGCTTGGCTGAAGATGAAGGCATATGGTCATGAGCTATAGATACTGAAGTTGAAATGATAATACGACATACATCAGAAGCATCTGCTGATGCGGAGTTCATTTGGGGCGTAGTTGAAGGCCAGCGGACAAGGTTGACTTGATTGGCACACATACCCTGTGGCTCATTAAACTTGGCAGCAACAAAATTATTCGCGTTAAAAACAAAGGGATTAAACGGCCGAATCCCGCATGACTCAGAGCCCTCTGTAGCAATAACAACGGTTGCTACTTGGTTGAAAGCATGTCCAACTATTGAGACCAGATCAAGAAACGAACTTGGTTGACGAGTATGACTTAGCATCCATTGATCAGCAAACGTATTGAATGCCGACTTCAAGGGCTTGAAACTCGTGTGATCACAAGGCTGGAGGCGATGTGTACAATGTGGTGGCAATGTTAGCATGGTAACATTGCTAGCAGACGTTAATTCTACAGCAGCAAGGGTCTTATAACTTTCGTGGCCATGTAGTAGTAACGGAGCAGGGTATGTCATTGAAGGTTTAACCTTAGCAATGAAATATTTGAGCCATTTGATGGATTGTTCAGCATCAGACCATCCAATATCTGAGCAAGAGCCAATTAATTTGGCAGGTACTCCCTTCAGCAGATTGGGATCCTACCATCTCCTCTGGAATATAGACATTAGCAGGATAAACGTCCCCATCGCATTAAAAGCAAAGATGACGGTCACAAATTTTCATTTTCGGAACGTCATTTTTCCTATGGTGCGTTTTCCTTACTGGGTCAAAATTGTGTTGGCTGTTTAACCCACGAAAAACCAGCCTCATCCATAATCCATATCCTACCTCCTGTAAATAAGTGAGATCTCAACGCAGAAGGCAAACAACCATAAAATCTGTCTATCTGCAGTGTTGAACCCAACTGCACGAGAAAGGATGACTGCTTCAGGACTTGTAAGTGGAATAGAAGGAATTCGTATAAGGAATCCATCTAGCCAACTTCGGCCTGCAGGTTTAGACTCATGTTCGAATCGATGAGGTAGGTTCACTTTTTTGCGAGATCATATGCCAGATGTCGAACGTATATGGTCACCAAACTAGACAACAGTGCTTTTATAGTCATCTTTTAACTAAGTGCCTCTTCCAACTTTGGCTGAAGTTCTGATCTGAAACGACCCAGAAATATATACCCAGGTGCAAAAACCTGAAAAACAGGAAATAGCAGTGCATAATGTTATCCCTTCATTGTCTCTGAGTCGCCTTAAAGTTCCTTGGTCAGCGTTGAAATTCTTAGAAGTCTTTTCCAATGAAATTCTACTTTTCCAGTCTCCCAGTGCTAAACACAGGTTTTGTGCCCCATATACTCCTATCTTACTCTTCAGCACATACACTCGGGTCATTCTGAGATGAATGTAACTAAAAGTGTTGGTAAGAAGTGGAAGCATAAAAAGGATATAAAATAAGTACGGGTAAGGTGCCCATTGGCGCCCAAAATTTGGGTGGAAAAGTACGCAAAACATGTCAACGGGTCAGTTTATCAGTAAGAAAGGCATTCGACATCTGAATTGTATGTATAAAGGAGAGGAAGCGAATAGGAAACTGTCGAGGCCACGATCTGGAGTGGAATATGGATCGCAATGGAAATATATATAGGTGGACTTCGTACCCGCAATGAGCTTCTTACCCCACTCTACCCTAATCAATATGGGCAGTATATCCGTAAAGAGAGCGCAATGCTTTCGTGTTTCACTGATAGATTGGTTAAACACCCACGGTAATTTGATGTTACTTTCATTTATGGCCAGCATGTTGTCTGTTGTTGTTGCTTGCACAAACCCTAAAATATATCAATACGCGGTTTGAATGGATCGATACCAGACCATGCGCCCGTATTAACGAAGACGCGGGGCTAGTTTAGCACGTTCGGTCATTCCGGATTAAAATATGCGTGAAATAGTTTTCCTCCAAGTAGGTCAAAGCGGAAACAACTGTGGAACGAAAGTAAGTGATCACGATGAGATTGGTGTCAAATTTCGGCTTGTTATGATGCTGATGCATTTAAGGTGGTAGTTGAACAATCACGACACAGGACTACATGGTAAGCCTATAGTAGCTATGCCCTCTGGTGGTATAGTTTGTCTATTCTGAGTAGATATCGTACTAAGCTTTGGGAATTAGTGGCAATAATAACTGAATATATGAGTAGTCGATACAAATGAAGTAAGTAGCTCCGTCAGTAATGTGAAAAGCATAGGAAGAATACGGTAGCATGTAGATGCTTCTATTTAGGTTAATATGGGTAGGCCGTCGCTAAAGAACTACAGTAATGATAAGTACCTTCCCGCCACTAGTTCATAGCCAACCTATCATTATAGTACCGTACTAGTATGAAAAGCACCCGATAGAAAAATCCTCAACGCCCCTTCATGGAAGATATTCACCCTACTCAACAATCCCGTCACTGATTCCCACTACCTATATTAGCCAACCCTTTTCTTTGTCCCAACTCAAATTTCGTTTGCTCTGACTCTCAATCCATAGTAACTCAGCTGATAGCAACTCAATTCTATATTCCATTGCACTTTGAATGGTTGTCGTGCCACATTCAATCGCCTACACGTTGGTCTAGTTCTGGGATGTCCAAAGTCCGATCCGCGGCCCAAATTTGGCCCGCGCCAATATTTCAACCGGCACGCCGCCTCATCATGAAATAATAAATTCAGGCTTGGACTTTTATCGTACATGTGTAATTTTGTTATTATCTTAATATCAGACTGCACATGCCCGATATCTTATTAGCTCACAAAATGTGGTCCTCCTTACAAAATGTTTGGACACCCCTGACCTAGTTACACCTTCTGAACTTGCTCATTCTCGCTACACCGTTTTGGTATCCGTGCCCTGGGTTGTTTCAGTATTTATCGCTTTGCGTCTGGTGACGCACTTGAGCGCATCTAAGGCTGTCTTGCAGTGTTAGTGACCTCAGAAGATTGGAATTTTGATGCGAATTGTCACAAGCATGGAAACTATTTTGTTCGTGCTGGTTCATTGCTTTGTTCCCCTTTCTCTACCGATCGGTTAGCACTTAGTGTCGGACTATCACTGTGAGTAGCATGCAGACATCAACGCCTACGAATTTGCGTAGCATCTCTTCTGATTGATCAGTTACCTTAATTCAGTGTGCAGCACAAGTCTCGGCGCATTAAGACATTGCTAGTTTATTCCGCGTGTAATTTGAAGCCACTTTTGTTGGCTAGTTTGAGTGATTTGGAAGATGTTGATTCAAACTTGCTCTGGAAACACCTATTGCTAAGATATTTTAACTTTGTTGTTGCTAAGTGCATGCAAACAGTAACATTATCCATTGCCGGCTCTGTTGTTGTTTTGGTTCCGATGGAAACGCATTGATTGATGTCTTCGAAGCATTTGTTACTTATACGGGCCTAACGAAGTAGTTTGGCTTTTGCTTTCCCTATTAAGGATAGGTTGCTATAAGTCTCCTTTACTCTCCACTGAACTCTTAAACGTTAAGGAGTATTAGTTGGAATTTTTGTGTTGCTTAAATGTATCACCTCAGCCCTGTTGGGATTCGTCGCTAACTCGCCTCGGTCGGGCATTGCTGGATCCGGAAACAAGTAGTCTTACCAGCCATCGATTTCTAAGTATCAGCGCTCAGCCAGTGGAAGTGGCGGATCAACTCACTTACCTAAAGAATTGTATCACTTCTGATGGTCGCATCACTGAGCTAGTTGATTCGCATAACATCAAGGTACGTGCGTTCTTTCAAAGACTCAATCGTCTCTGGAGACGAGGGATTCAGTCTGTCAGTGAAAAGTAGAGTGCCTAGCGTTGCAATTAGCAAAAGCAATCAAGCAATACACGTTAGTTGAGAGTGAAAAACACACCTCAGCTAATGTGCCGCAATGCAAAAAGGCAAGATACAAAAAGTTATATCACAAAATTTCGAAAGCACGTAATATGAGGTAAATGTTATACTATGTAAATCGGATGAGATCAGAATTAGTGGAGGAATCTAAAAGGGAGGGGATGGACAAAGAAAATCACAACGCGAACGCCATATCAGCAAGTGTGTCCAACCAAACGTGTTCAGCATCCTTAGGACCCCAGACAGACAGTCGAGATGCACCAACCAATGTCAGTTTCGAAGTGAGGGTTTTCATTCCTCTCGACCCAGTCATCGTTTGTCCTCCCCTTCTACTCTTCCAACCGCACCCAGATGCACAAACAATGCACGTCGCGGGAGTCCCTGTGCTGGCATGCGCAACATGTGGCCCAGCCATCGGAGTCTGGTGCGTGATATAATGGTAGTGAGCGGTTCATTCACCCTTCCTGCACCAAATACACGACGCCGAACACGCTCATAGCTCACGCGGTGTTCCCACCAGACATGAGCTAAGCTACGATGACAGCGATGATCGAATGTGACGAGCCAGTTTATGTGAGTCGACCTGATGGACCAAATTTCACAATCGTATAGGAGAGTTGAACGGACGGCTGCATTATAAACTCTGCACTTCAGGGCGAGAGTAATGTCGCATCTGCGCCACAGGTGGCGAAGATTAGCAAAAGCACCTCGAGCTTTTGCTATACTGTTCGTAATCGCAGCTTCGATCCCACGGGCGCTAATATAGCCGCCCGGGTACTTGAATTTTTGAACAACTTCTAGCTGATAACCACCAAGGGTCAGCGCACGGGTGGATTCCGGCCAATCTTGGAGAAGTACTTTACATTTCCGAAAACAATTTCCAAAACGATTGACAGTCAGTGTTAATTGGCCCAGTGCTGTTTGGCATGTTTGGGAGCTGTCACACATAAGAGCAATGTTGCCCGCATACTTCAAGTCAAGAAGTCGCTGACCAGGAAGTAGCTCCGCTCTTTCTAGGTGGTGTCCAGCGAACGCTATTTCCATAACTGCGTCAATAGTGAAGTTGAAGAGGAAAGGTGACAGCGGGCAACATTGGCTCACACCGCTGGAGATACCGAAGGACGGCGACGTTTTGTCATAAACTATCACTCTGCCCGAAGTATGCGCGTACAGCGCTTTGATAATGTTTATATGTTTATCGGGCACCTTTTCTGAGCAGAGAGTCCCAAAGGGCACATCGACCAACCACATACACACACACACACACACACACACACACTATATACGTTAGAGGTGGGAAACACCTCAGCTTCAGTGCCGCAATACCTAAAAGAAAAAGGGAATAAAATGCAACTGGTGCAAGCCAGCCGAGCTACCGGTAACGGATGGGAATGGTTCCGGTAAGCTATCTGCCAACTACTATGCAAGAGAAAAAACCTAATTTCCTATACAAAATTATAAGTGCTAATTACTGAGATCGTGGTTGGAGGGGGAAGCTAAGAGGGATGGGGTGGGACAAAGAAACTCACAGCACGAACCCACTGAGGTCTGCTCCTATCCATATCAACAAGTGTATCCAGCCAAACGTGTTCATCCTTTTTCGGACCCCAACCAGGGAGCCGAGACGCTCCAACCGAGGCCAGCTTCGAAGTGAGGGCCTTTATTCCTCTCAACCATGTCATCGCTTGGCCACCCCTCCTCTTCTTCCATCCACACCCCCCGGTGAGCAAACAACACACGTCGCGGGAGTCGGTGGGCTGGCATGCGTAACACGTGGCCAAGCCATCGGTGCCTGCGCGTGAACTAACGGTGCTGTGCGGTTCATTTCCTTTTCCTGTACCGTAAACAAGGCGCCGAACACGCTCGTCGCTCATGCGGTGTTCCCACCAGACGTGAGCTAAATCGAAGGCACCGGTGGTCGAACGTAACTAGCCTCTTTATGTCCGTTGCTTTAAGCGGCCAAGTTTCACAATCGTAAAGTAGGGTCGAACGGATCACCGCATTTTACACTCTAACATTCAGTGCGAGAGTGATGTCGCGCCGGCGCCATAAGTGGCGAAGGTTAGAAAAAGCGCCTCGAGCTTTTACTATACGATTCATGGTCTCATCTTCAATCCCATGAGCCCTGATACAACTTCCCAGGTAGTTGAATTTTTGTGCGACTTGTAGCTGATCCCCACCAAGGGTCAGCGCAGGAGGCGATCCTTGCCAATCTTGGAGAAACACTTTGTACTTCGATCGTGCAAAGCAAAGCCCGAAGCGGCTGACAGCCAGTGCTAATCTGTCCAGTGCCGCTTGGCACTTCTGGGAGCTGTCACAGATTAGGGCAATATCGTCAGCATACTCCAAGTCAAGAAGTCCTTCTCCTGGGAGCAAATCCACACCTTCCAAGTCGTGTCCTGTGAACTCGATTTCCATGACTTCGTCAATAGCGAAGTTGAAGAGGAAATGTGACAGCGGGCATCCTTGTCTCACACCGCTGGAGAAATTCAAGGGCAACGACAGCTTGTCGTAAGCCCTCACTCTTCCTGAGCTACGCGCGTATAATGATTAGATAATATTTACATATTTCTCAGGTACACCTTTCCTGAGTAGACAGTCCCAAAGTGCACGTCTATACACCGAATCGAATGCACCTTTGATATCGAGGAACACGACAACGGTGGGCCGCCAATATATGTGACGGTGCTCCAACAACTGACGCAAAGTGAAGATGTGGTCAATGCAGCCACGACCTCGACGAAACCCAGCTTGCTCTTCACGAATATGGCTTTCATGAGTGCCAGTCAGTCTGTGAAGGATGACAGAGGCAAGCAATTTGGTGGCGATGGAGATCAGACTGATTCCTCTATGTTTGCCGCATTCTGATCGTGAGCCTCCCTTGAAAATTGGGACTATGACGGAGCGGCTCCAGTTGGTTGGGACAGTTTCCTGCTCCCACAGTTTCACTAGTAACTCGTGTAAACCATCCACAATAGCAGGTCCACCGAATTTGAAGAGGGCTGGATGTAGATCATCTGGTCCCGCGGCTTTATTTAACTTCAACAGTGCGATCTCACATTCGACTTCTGAGCGAGAGGGTAGATCCGAAGGGACAGCCCAGGGAGTGGGGCGA